TATACGGCAACAAATTTCTTTCTTCGCATTTGATGTTGACATGGAATCCCTCGTGCCCGTTTCTTTCTTCGCATTTGATGCTAACATGGAATCACCAACATAATTTGTAGAGGACAACTCGGTTTCCAACTTACCATAATATAAATTTTTTATTAGATAAATCTTCTTCCAGAACTCAGCCTCAGCAACCGAGATTTCTTTATTAGCCAAAAAGAATTTGAAGAGATAGATGACATAATAAATAAATTATTTTATTGTATATCTAGATTAGCTTATTTTAAGTTTTAAAAACTTTTAATAAACACGCTACAAAAAGTTGTTGCATAATAATCCATAGAGAAACCGTTGACATGAACATCTATATTAAAAGCATCGGTTGGCCAATAACTATAAGTGTTTATGTTTAAGCGATTTCCAAGAAATACATGGGAGGAATACATGTGATCAAAACCAAGGAAGCAAATCCATCTGCAAGTAAAAGATCCTAACACGGGATGATCTTCAAGGTAGTTATGGAAATAAATCTCAGGGGTCTCACCTTGATCAATCAAAGTGACTGACATAAAAGGCCAAATCTTAGGTATGATATGGCCTTATTAAATGTTTATAACATAAAATCTTGTCATGCAAATACTTATTTATAAGCTATTTCTATAACAAAAGATAAAATAAAATCACTTTTTTTTTATATAAGTCACTCTTTCTTCTAGACAACCTGTTGCTTTAGCCAATTTTCGTACAACTAAGTAACTCTCAAATTGATAATCAAATTGAACCTTAAAAAATTACAATTAAACTGAAAAAGATAAAAGTTGATTATACCGTAAATTTAAGCTTGCAACTTACAACCAAATTCAACATAATATATATAGTTGCTTGTGCAGTATTGTGGAGCTTCTGCAAGATGCAAAATAACTTTGAGTCGCATTTCCCATTTCATCCGTTATGTGTCTCCTGATATAGACATACATGCAACATCAACCATACAATCAAGATAATTCATTCAAGAAAACATGATCACTGAAATCTATGTCAAAGCAGATAACCAATGAAAAAAGTTATTACAGTGGAAAAGGTATTTTATGAGTGTTTCATTGGAGATATAGTCAGCCATGAGCAACTTCTCGTCGTCTTCAAGTATATTTTCATTCAATACAAATAATGAAACCTAACCGTTTTACGGGCTATATATAAGATCAATTCATTCAATAAAAATTTGAGTTATTATCTCCACTATTGTAAGTAAAGCTTATTTGTTTGTTTGCGTAACAGAAAGTGTTTTCTCACATCTTCTAAAAACCTCCTATATACCAGTTACGCCAATTCCATCAATTACATCTCTTATGAGCCTATATGATAGTGTTTTTGGAAAGAACAAATGGCATGATAAAACATCACAAATAATAGAAAAGGTTAGGAAATACAAAAACATAAAGCATAATAACAAAAATTCATACATCGCTACTGTGAAACAATACTTATAAGCAGGGCCGGCCCAATCAATCTGGAGGCCCTGTTTTAATTTAATAAATAGGCCTAAATCTAAAATATATATATAATTTAATAATAAAAAAATACACTAAAAATTCAAAGTATTGTTTAAACTAATAATATCTTTTTATACAATATAAAGTTTCTAACTACTTAAAAAGAGTCTTCCTCCTAACACTTTTTGAAGCAAATTCATCAACCAAATCTTCATATTTTACTGTCTCCAAAAGATCATTTTCAACTGCTATCAACGCCATGTAGGGGGGGGGGGGGGGGCTGAACCGGATCTGGTAATAAACGTATGCTTAGTAGGGGGGGGGCTGAACCGGCTTGCTTTTGGTACTAAATTCCTCCTCCACCCGAGCGTTTATTGCTTTCTTTCTCGACGAAGGAATTGATAGAGGCGAAGAAAAAGAAGTGAAATCTTGACCAGTTCGTATAGAAGTCAAGGGAAGAGTTTTCAAGGAACCAGCTCCTGGGGACTTCTATTAAGAACGGCTTTAGGTCTTAGTATGTGGTACAGCATATAGAGTCGTGAGACGCTCTACTTCCTCTTGTTCAGTTATCGATTCGCTGGCTGTTTCCGGCTCGCCCAGATGCTTTGCGAGACTGAAAGCTTCATTTTGTGTTCGGTTGCGTTATCTACCGCAAAGAGGGACTCCCCCTTTCTATTAGAACAGTGTTAGTTCGCTATTACTGCCGGTCAGGCCGACGATAATTCGATTCTGATATTGCTATGTGCGCCACTAGAGCTTTGATCATATGCTTTGAGCCGAGTCGATGAGTTTGAATATTCATTCGTGTACGTATGCCATGTAGATTGAAAAGGGAGAAGCCCTAACTGGGGGAGTATAAATAGCACACCAGATGGATCATTCAATAGAAAGCCGAAGGCGAAGAGTTAACACCTCCAAAGGGCTGGGTGAGAGAAAGCGTCCTTTGTTGATACTTAGTGTACACCGCCACCTACTGAAATGGATTAATAAACGTTGCTTTCTATTGCTTGTAGCGGCGTTGCTTCCTTTTGTTCACCGCGTGAAATCTTGAGAAAGAAGGCCTTGTGGGGCATCTCCAGCAGCGCCAAAGAAGGAAGAAGTCAAGTGGGCGAACGAGAATCAGATAAATAATAGTGTAGTAACCGCATTTCTTACAGCTGTAACCTTTCCCTATCGGTCGATCATCCGAGCATCCGATTCAATCCTCTCCTTTCAGTGATCTCATACCTCTTCGCTTAGCTCGAGTGATTGAATACCATAGCTACTAAGTGATGGAATATCGTTGCTTACGAGGACAAAAGGCCTGATAGGGAGAAGAATGTGAAATCGCTTGCTCGCAAGAGGAAGGAATGATTAGCTCAAGCCTATAGTATAGCGTTAGGGCACCTCACTCGGGGATTTTACCGATTGAAGCTTGCTTGTTAGAAGCTTTGGAAGTTTACTTGTTGCTTGTTGGCTCACTAATAGGGTCACGAACGGTAAGAAGATAAAGAATAGTTCCGATTATTCTGATTCTGCAACTGTAATCAATTCTATTCTATTTAGCTTTTCATTCAAGTCTATTGGCAGTTCATTCTCTCTTGGCTCTCCGGAATGAATATTCATTCAACATGTTGCCCTAGGTAGAATGGGAAAGGACTCTGTGAACGGATCGCCCAGGAGATGGTGATTTTCTTTAGCAAGAAAAGGGAAGTGACCTTTACTAAACAAGCAACAGACTGACTACTTACTAAGGATCCGAAGGAGAACAGTAAGCGATGGAATTTATTACTAAGCTGAATAGAAAGTCATTCGATACCTTCGCTTACAGAAAGAGAAATAGTTAAATTGAAATAAAGGAACTATTCTTTATCTTCTTACTCAGGAGCTACCTTTTCCCTCTTTTTTTTATACTGATTACCGAGTCTTCTATTCCTGTAAGGGGGAGTGGAGTGAGTTCATGGAGCGAGGTAGCCCCGCAGGGAACCCGGATAAATTAATCTATAGCTCAAGTGAAGTGACCAAAGAAGCAAGACTAAGCGCAAAAACATCGAAAACCCAGGACCAAAGAAAGTGTTTTCGTGTTATTAGCGTCTAGGCCGAAAAACTCGTGGCTAAGGTCCATGCACACTAGTTCAACGCGCTCACGTAAAACACACGAACTGAACTAGCAAGATTAGGGTTTGGTTTTTAAGACGGCGCAGACTCAAGGAAGAAGTTTTCTTCAAAGCTAGAAAGGCTTAATAAGCGCATCTCCAGTACACTGAGCTTACACCTTCTAAATTTTCAGCACATTTTTACGAACATTATTATTTATTATATTTTCATAAGTAGTAAAGATTTACAACTAGGGCTTTTCCCATACCATACATGCAAACATAAAAAAGAAAACCAAACAAAGATAGTTAGCATAGATAGGAGTCTATCTCCAGTAAGCATCCGGAGTAGATCTCAACTAAAAAAGACAAAGAACACCATACATTAAAACACACTACTTTGCGTCTACAGACACTTATTTAAATCTTCTAGAAAGAGTCGACGGACCCTTTATGAAGCTTACGCACACATAGACAAACCAGCCACACAACTAAACACAACATTACAACAAAGTAAACAAACAACATATTAAGTTAAAAGAAAAGCAAAAACAAAGGACTTCTTAGTAGTTTCCCCCAGGTCTCCTGCGGATGATGGAGGCCGCCCTGATAAGCAGCAATTCGCGCTCTCGGATGAGAACCCTCCTTTGTTCTTCCAGAGCGCGAATGTGGTCCCGGAGCTCTTGTATCCGCTTTACCAGGACCTCCTCCTCGACAGGAGGCATGTGCTCCCAGAAGGCAGCCAGGGTTTGCTCCTGCTGGAGCTTTGCGTTCTCTACATTAATAATTGCTTGCTCAATTTGAAAAAGCGTTAAAGTGGTAACTGGTGGATCCATATCTATCTCCCCTTGCTTTGCCAAATAGAGAAAGCAGCTTCTATTTATAGACGTGGGAAGCTCTAAGCGAAAAAAAAAGAGTCTTTCGTTTTTCGCGGGTATCGCCACGTGGCTTAATCCCGAAAACTCTTTCAGGAATAGAACTTAATAATATAGCGCACATCAGAGAAGAGAGTAACCCCCAATAAGAGAGGCCCCCTGCGTCCTTTCTTCATAGATGGAGCAATCCTCACTCGACAGCTCGAAAGCGGATCAGTACAAACCCACGTGATCCGTATTCGCTTACGTACCAGGCGTGCTTCGTCGTACCCTGACTACTCCTCTTTCACTGGCTTCTACTTGTCTTTTACTGGCTTATTTGTACCCAGCTTCATGATTGAACTCCCCTCGGCCAATCGTCACTCGACAGCAGCTCCGTCCTAGCGTAGGCTGAAGAAGTAAAGCCTCTGCCTCTATCGCTTGATTGAAAGGATCAGACACTTTCCCCTACTTTTGACAGCAGAACGAATTATATTATTAATATAAGTAAGGTAAACTTGCTTTTGCCGATTGCACTCGGATAGCGGCCTGGGCCGTCCTGGAATGGGAAAAAAATAAATTAGATGGACTGGACTTGGGCTTTGTTTGGAAAGCCAGGAAAAGGTGGCATTTCCGGGCCAGGGCTGAAAATGGATCTGAATGCTAACATTGGGCTAACCTTCACTCCAATAGAATGGGGAAACGAGCAGAAGCATATTTTGTCTGCCATCCCTCAGGGCAAATCCGTGTTCATCACAGGCTCTGCTGGGACTGGTAAAACCCTATTGCTTGAGGAAATAAATTACTGAAAAAAATTACCAATATGTGGTTTTGTCATACAAAAAGATCCAATTTGTTTGGACTCGTTAGGTTTGGCCCATTACCTTGAGTGAGGCCGAACGTGTACACCTTTTGTTATGAAGATGTGATCTTATCCACTGATGGGTCTTGTTCTAAGCCCAACCCTCTCGTCTTAGGGTAGGATATCCAGAAACCTTCAATCACGGGAACTTCCCCTTTTTGGTAGACAGCCTATGTTGGGCTGACTAAGCCCACTATCCTACCTAATAGGGTCCCATCTTGTGTCGGGTTAAGGGCGCTTAGTGGAACCCTATTTCTTCACTTGTAGTCTAGGGCGTTGCTTGGCATTGGGCTTCGATATAGCTTGCTTTCCTGGTTTTGGATTAAACCTCTGCTCTCCTAATTCAGTCTATAGGCTTAGAATTTAGCCCAGAAAGAAACCTTTCTTAGCATCCAATTGCTCGACTCGATGGGTACTTCTAGTGGTTTGCCGGAGAAGCTCTTGTATTTCTTTAAGGAGTTGGTTAGTGGCATAGACACCTCTTAACTCTAAATCGAATATTCAAGAGACTAAAAAGATCGGGAATGCACATCTAAAAGGAGAGGAACTTCACTCGCAAAAAAGAAAAAGATAAACGATAGACAGAAAGAGAAGGAATAGCGGGCAAAGCGATTCCAATGCTTAACGAATGGACCAATCCCAATCCTGAAAGTCAAGCTCAGTCCCCTCAAGCTAAAGGGGATATTGTACTTTACTCCCGAGTCTTCCATTTCGGACTCGTGAGAAGGAATCCAAGCACGAAGAAAGACCTATTAGATAGCCTTAAGGGAAAAAAGATCTTTAACGTTCCGATCTCTTTCGTATGGCATCTACACTAACATGAATGAGAATGAGCAGCTCCTTTTTAACTAAAAACTAAAAGAAGATACAACCGATAAAATCTAGTGTTCTTCTGAAGGCCTTTCGCTTGTTAATGTTAATAGCTTGCTTGGCCACACTCAGAAGCAGGGGTCTAAGCTAGTATGATAGAACCAGGTAGTAGTTGGTCGGAAAGGAAGAGAAAGCAACGGACTCGGACAAGACCATTAGGACAGAAAGGGATTGGACTGATTGACCCCAGGTTCCGGGACGAGAATCAAGGAAGCAAACTCGATCTTCCTAAGAGCTTTGATTCTTCCTCCTACTAGCTGCAGCCAAAGAAGAGATATAACAAAGGAGATCAGACAGCCCCTTATTTATTTTATGCCTTTTGCTGCTCTACAATACTATTACTATACTCTCTCCAAAACGAAAGTGAAAGAAGCCCGCATACCCACTCTTCTTTCCCCCCATAGCTGGGGGCCTCGTCCTCAGGGACTACACCTTTCAAAAGGAGAAACTTAGAAAACAAATAGAATCAAAAAGGCCATCATTAATGCGAACAAGGCAATAGCCTCGGTTAGAGCAAAGCCCAGGATTGCATATCCGAATAACTGTTTTGCCAATGATGGATTTCTTGCCACGGAATGAATTAATGAACTGAATACGTTTCCAATACCTACAGCAGCTCCCGCTGAAGCAATTGTAGCAGCTCCGGCACCTATTGATTTTGCACCTTCTAACATCTCGAATGGAGAAAAACTCGTCACGCTCTTTCATTCACGATTTTTTGTTCTCGTCGCTTCAAAACCTCGTTCCTTTTCTCTTGGACATCTCACTTGAAATGCAATCAATGCATTCATTCTTTTTAGTAAAAGAAAGTCTCTCACGGATATCCTATTTGTAGATATGGGTCCGTAATTCTATTATTATATTATAATAGGGTGGTAATAGTTCCTATATTTGCCTATCGAACAACAAGTCTTAATGTATCGTCGACTTGATACTACCAGCTTAGATACATGTACCGGATGAGGCGGAAACCCATACTAAAAATCAGAAAGGAAGACCCATGCATCAATCAAGATCTCTATCTATAATATAACATACCTCAGGTTGGATTCAACCACTTAGGATGATGATCTGCAAAACCAAACCCCATGACTTTATGCTCTGCCAGTCTTCCCCTCTTCTAGCTATTCGCATGCGTCGATCAATCATCTTCGGCAAAATTACCTTATAAAGTATGCACCAAGGATCCATTAGATTAAACTAAGTGCATGATAGACCGATTCTTATATCCTTTGAATGTGACCACTGGTTAGATTATGATTATGTAAATGGATCCCCATTAAGTCGGGCCTGTGGACAATGTTTTAATGGATCACCCCTGATGCCTGATGGGCAAAAGAAAAACATGAGCCCAATACGGTACCTCATAGGGCAGGCAATCATTGTACTTAGGGTCACTCTCCCATCTGTTATCTTCATTGTATCGATTCAGTCTGGTCGATCAGGAGAGCGAGTGCGAGAGAGATTGAAATAGCTATGCCAACCTATCCATAAGTGCTTGTTGAATCAATTGTATTCCGATAGCGCGGCAACTCGTGTTGTTTATTCCTTTCTTAATCCAGCATCCAGTAGGTCGCTGAATATGGGCATGCATGCCCGAACGCAAAAAAGGCTATCCGAGATACTATACTCTTTGGTTCCCTCCCAAGCAAGGCTAGAATCAAAGGAGGAACTCCCGACTCAAATAGGTGTGATATCGAAGTGGACTCAATTGTCCAATATCTTCTCTTATGCTATTATTTCGTCGAGTACTCAAAACAAGATGAACAAGTGAGAGGAAAGAACCTCACATAAGCAAGCAGTTCGGTCTACTCGCTTTTGGCTTGGGCTTTGCGAATGGAACTTGCATTCTCGAAAAACAGGGCTCGTTCACTTGGCTTCTCACTTCGGAATGCTAGAGGAATGGTTGACCTAACGCATGAACCAACTATCCGAGATTCTGCCTTCCGCTTTGAAAACATTGGGAAGGGGTCGGGCTTTCAGCTGATTCGAAAGGGATCGTCAAGCCAAGCAA